GCGACTTTAGCAGCACCACCACAGGTACAGTTCTTCCGCCAGGGGTGTTCGCTCTCGCACCTGCTGGGCCCCAGTGAGCGTCGCGCCGCCGCCCTCTTCACTTCCTTGCGAGGGTCCTTCGGGGGTCCTTGCGGGGTCCTATGGGGTCCTATGGGGGTCCTGTGGGGTCCTATGGAGTCCTATGGAGGTGCCCCCGAGGTTCTCGCGAGGGCGGTCGCAGGGGGGGGGGGGGCGAGCTCGCGTCGGGTCCGCTCCTCGACTGGGCCCCTCGGGACAGTTTTCCAGTCGCACACTTCCTCCTCCTGCTTCTCCGTCTCGAAGCTGAAATATCTACTATTATTTATTTATGTATTTTCTCTCTTTCTGCGTCTGTCAGTGAATGGAGATCATGATGTGCATGAAAGCATTGTTATTTTCCTTCCCCTCAGAGACCAAGTTGGCAGTCCACCCGTTTACCATCTGTGTCATGAGCATGACAGGTAAACCAGTGTGGGGAGGGAGGGAGGGAGGGGGGAGGAGGAAGAGGGGGAGTTGCTGCATCCTCTTCCTCCGATGTGTGGAGTTAAGGGGGGGGAGGGTGGGGGTGTGGAAGCTGCCACCATACACTTTCTTTTTTTTTTTGCTTTGGATTACTTGAAAAAAAAAAGAAAAACTTTTTCTTTTGATTCTCTTTATCTCTCTCTCTCTCTCTCTCTCTCTCCCACTCTCACTCTGTCACGATACATCTTAATGGCTGTGCTTATTGTCCCTCCTGGCGGCATTGCTGTGTTTCAAAGGATTGCGTTCTTACACGGTCGCTTTTCACTCTGCTGCAGCACCAGCGTCGGGAGCTGATGGGGGGGGGGGGGGGGTTGTGTCACACTGGCTATGTTGCTAGCACTTCCGCAAGCATGACTAATATGCTCACTCTGCACGCTATCACACTAATCGTTATTGTAAGTGTGTATTTTTGTGTCATATTTTGAACGATATTAATGTTTGCCTAAATGATGACGTCTTCAGTGGCTCTTCCAATGTCTTTGCTCCTCCCAGCCCCCCACCCCCTTCTCTCTCTCTCTCTCTCTCCCTCCCTCCCTCCCTCCCTCCCTCTCTCTCCCTCCCTCCCTCTCTCTCCCTCCCTCTCTCTCCCTCCCTCCCTCTCTCTCCCTCCCTCTCTCTCCCTCCCTCTCTCTCCCCCCCTCTCCCTCCCTCTCCCTCTCTCTCCCTCTCTCTCCCTCCCTCTCTCTCCCTCCCTCTCTCTCTCTCTCTCTCTCTCTCTCTCTCTCTCTCTCTCTCTCTCTCTCTCTCTCTCTCTCTCTCTCTCTCTCTCTCTCTCTCCACCATCCCCGCACCCCCATCTCACTCTCATTCTCACTTTCTTCTATTCATATGCAAAGGGATACGACCACGACTACGTTCACACACACACAGTATTGAACACAATACGAGGTGCGTTAAAAGAGAAAGTTCCACCTCAATGAAAGAAAAGAAAGAAGAAAGAAAGAAAGAAAGAAAGAAAGAAAGAAAGAAAGAAAGAAAGGAAGAAAGAAAATAAAACTCCTTGGATATGTATATATTCCCTACTGTGTCCCATCCCTCCCTCCACTTTCCCTCTCCTCACTTCGGTCCTGTGATCTCATCTTCATTCTATCTCCCCCCCCTCCCTCACCTTCCCTCTTCCCCTGCCCATTTCCATGTTTTCCTCACTACCCATTTCCCTATTCCCTTCCCTTACCCATTCCCCAGTTCATCTCCTTACCATTTCATTATTCCTTTCCTCTACCCATTTCCCTATTCCCTTCCCTTACCCATTCCCCAGTTCATCTCCTTACCATTTCATTATTCCTTTCCTCTACCCATTTCCCTATTCTCTTCCCTTACCCATTTCCCATTTCCTCTCCTTACCCACTTCATGATTCCCATCCCTTACCCATTTCCCTATTCCCTTCACTTACCCATTTCCCACTTTTTCTCCCTTTTCATTTCCCTGTTTTCCTCCCTATCCATTTCCTTATTCCCTTCCCCCTACCCGTTATCCTGTTTTCCTCGCTACCCATTTCCCACTTCCCCTTCCTACTCATTTCCAAATTCCGATCCTTACCCATTTCCCTATTCCCTTCCTTACCCATTTCCCAATTCCCTACTCATTTCCCTGTTTTCCTCCCTACCCATTTCCCTGTTTTCCTTCCTGCCTATTTCCCTCTTCCCCTCCCTACCCATTTCCCTGTTTTCCTCCCTACTTCCCTCTTCCCTTCTGCCTATGTCCCTATTCTCCTCTTTACTCATTACCCCATTCCTCTCTTACCCATGTTGAATCCGGAGGCAGCGTCCGTAGAGTATGTTCGTGTCATAAATCTGAAAAGTGGATAGAATAAAAGAGAAGGGAATGAGGTATACCGATAAAGAGAAAATAAGGAGACTGAAAATAAAAGATGGATTGGGGAGTTATTAAAAGGGAAGAAAAAAAAAGTGCCATGAAGGGGAGGAAAATATCTGTGTAAAAAGTTCATAAGGATGCGTT